GGTTGTGATAACAATGATATTAATTTTGTAGGCCGATAATCAAGAATGATGCTGAAGCACAGGTATACATCACGCAAGGCAGACATCCAATCTTAGACACACTTCTGTCGGAGAACGAACAGTACGTTCCTAATGACACCAAACTAAAGGTAAGCTAGCAGCGAAACGCATGCGATCCAGAAGCCGTGACAGATACTGATATCATTTATCATTGGTGTATTACTTAGGGTGATGCTACTCGGTGTATGATCATCACTGGTCCAAACATGGGAGGCAAAAGCTGTTACATCAAACAAGTAAGACGACTAATCTGAGTCCCAAGGGAATCTTGAACAAACAAGAATTGTACCTTCCTACCTTTCCTCGCTTACTAGTTTTCCTTTTTTCCTTTTTTTCCTTCCTTCCTSCCTTCCYCCTTTCCCTCCCTACTTTTTTCGGCTGCCTCTATCCCGTCCCTCTTTCTCTTTCTACCTCCTTCCTTCTTTCCTTCCTTCCTTCCTTCCCCTGTTTCCTGGCTAAAGACAAGAAAACATTTTCGCGGCAATCCATATCTATTATTTATTGTTTTGTCAGGTAGCTCTTATTGCAATTATGGCACAGATTGGTTCATATGTCCCTGCTGAGCACACAGAACTAACACCACTCGATGCAATTCATACCAGGTACGTCGTGCCTTGAGAAGTGTCCCCGACTCCACATCTACATRAATCTATGAACTGACTTCGATGCTTAGCGATACTAAATCCTCTTTTCGACATCACATTTGAGAAGAGTTTGTTAGTTTGTTTGTTAAATTATATTCGTTGAAATGTCCATAGCATTCGTATAAAACTTTGAAAAAACAACCATTGTGAAGAATCATCATTACCCCAAGACACCTCGATTTAAAATCATTTTTATCGCATTTGTTATGTCATAGGATGGGAGCTTCGGACAACATCTACAAGTGCCAAAGCACGTTTATGGTTGAATTGCAGGTAATATAATTTGTTTGGTTGTTTGTTTTTTTGGCCAATCGATTTGTTTACTTACATTTGTATATTTTCTGAATGTCTCCAGGAGGCATCACGCATTCTTCACCAGGCCACATCTCGTTCTCTCGTCATTCTGGACGAGCTGGGACGGGGTACGAGTACACATGATGGYATAGCAGTAGCGTATGCAACTCTCCAACACATTATCTCAAAGGTACATTTTTCCTAAGAACAACATGGACGTTTTTTAAAGAAAAATTTTCCACTCTTAAGAAGACGCCTTTAAACATGTTTGTTTAAGCCTGAGCGAATTGTTGAATGGCAAAATACTCTTTTATAAGTCAATGTTTCTTAAATCCAGTTCTTTGTTGGGGTTTTATTTTCATAATGATAACCACTTTTATTTGARAATAATAAATTAAAAATATACGAAAGATGTCTAAACGACAAATAAATCGTTTTTGACAACGATGCTTTGCGCGCCTAGTTTCGGGATCGCGCGGGAACAAAGCCTGATTGTTTTCATGTTCTTCAAAGGTTGGCTGTTTGACGCTTTTCGTGACTCATTACCCCAACCTCGCTGAGATCGAGAAATCCTACCCTTATCACGTGACCAATAGTCACATGGCTTTTATGACGTCAAACGATGGTTCCTCAGAAGACACCGTTCAGGACGACTGTAATCTCAACGACTCAAGCCCTCCAGTGACTTTTCTATATAGGCTTGTTCAGGGTGTCGCTCAACGAAGTTATGGACTGAATGTAGCCCGACTCGCGGGAATCCCTAGGGATATTCTCGAGAAAGCGACCACGAAATCTCATGATTTGGAAATTGAAATCACGAGTAAGAGGTGAGAAGACTGCATCTACCTAGCTGGGAATAACTGTATTCGCAGCACGGTGTAAGGAGGGGATGAGAGGCTTGAGGATAATCGACAATCTAGCTTCAGTGTTCCATGTCGGCATAACAAAACCGCCGTCCAGCCAGATAAATCTGATTGCTTTCATTTGATATAGAGTTCCTATAGATTTGACGCTTCCACTAAGTCTGGCGTAACTTTTTTTTCGTCCTTCCCAAAAGCCTTCGCGCGCATTAATCGCCTTCCCATATGTCATTGCGAACTATAGAGGTTTTGTACCAGGAGGTGCTCATGCTCATAATACATCTTGGGCTGCCTGTGGTTAGATGTCAGAACAATATATAAAATCCCTTTGCTCTTGGGAATTTAATTCTTTCCCATGTAAAACGATTGTATTGTTCTTGTCATCTAACATGGCTGCCCTCACGTGGTGGAGTAAAGGCTCTATAGAAGAAAAAACATAAGTAACGACTTGGTACGAGTCTGGCGGCGAGAGACGCGTAATCTACTACGGCCCTTGATTATCCAAACCACAATCTTTCTCGTCATTTGTGCCACTTATTCTAATTCTACTATTTTTCCTTTGAGATGGAGAAGAAGACTCTTTAAGAAGACTTGGTTCTCTGCAAGTGCGAGTGATTTTAGACAACACAGCAAGTCAGTAAACCACAAGTAAATATACTTGAACGATTCAGTTGTGCAGGATTCTTTTGGGGGGAGGGGGGCTAAGGTTTTTATTCAGTTTTGTGTTTTGTTATGTAGGATATTTTACAGGGAAATAGGGCCTTAATTTTTAGTGGGGGAGAGCTAAAATGAAAATCGAGTCTTAAACGCAATTATCAAACTGCAGCGTTGTTAAAAACATAACTTTTCTTATGTGTCCTGTACTTTGCTAGAACAGGAAGGTAGATGAAAATCTCTAGCGGAAAAGCGATTTATCACATATATAAACCACATACATTTAGTGTTTTATGCGTTTATCGATTCTTGCTTCTGCATGGGTCACAAATATAAATGCTTCATCCGTTTATCGGTTCTTGCTTCTTCATGGGTCACGAATATAACTGGATACTCCTGGATATTCGATTCAACACTAAAGTTAGGTAGCTTCGTGCTCYGCGGTCTGCGGTGTTGCGAAGGAGAGAGGGGCTCCTTATCCCGCCCTTCMTTTCCCTCGCAACACCGCAGACCGCCGAGCAACGCAGGCTAAGGTATCACAATTTCATCCAAAAAATTGATATGAAAACGTTACCGCTTTGATGATAGTTTATCAGAGGTCCACGACTAATTCCGCGCCATTTTTGAATGTCTGAATTCAAGAGTTTTCAGGGAGTTGATAACGCACAGATGTTGTTTGACATCGAAAGCAAAAGGAAGGTTTCTCCTTCGATTCTTCTTCAATAATCAAGCCTCCTTCACCACAGGGAACCCGGCTTGCGGAAAATTATATATATTTTCTTTTGAAGGTTATTGAGTTTTAGATTTCTAACTTTGCTCTTTTTAGGTTTCTTGTGGTTCGAGATCGGCTTACGGTTACATAAGCTGTAAGCCGTTCGCACGAGTTTGAGCCCTTTTACGGACATTCCACAAAAGTTACTATGAATATTCTTACGTATATATACATTTCTAATATTCGCAATAACGATCCCACCAAACCAGTTTCCCGCCATTTTAATCTAGCTAACCATTCTCTTTCTGACTTCATTGTTTTCGGTCTTTCTTCGCTTAACGGCAACAATGATTGTCGCAAGACCAAAGAAATGCGGCTTATTCACCTATTGGGCACTCTTAGTCCCAACGGGATTAATGAACGCTTTACTTTCAACTAACCTTTTCTTTTGTCTTTTGATTGTTTGTTTTTGTTTCCTTGCCTACCTTGCTCTCATTGGTTTCTTTTGTCTTATTCTATCATATATAGACTCCTACCACTTCTTTCTCTTTTACTCCGACGAAGGACTAGCGTCCGAAACGTCAGTAAGTTTTTTCATCTTTTCACGGTGTATGATTTACCTTTTCATCATTACTATACATTTCTTTGTCATACGGTACAAGTACATTGCTTGGGCTTCCTGTGCTAAGCCTTCTTCTTTGACTGCTTACTACAAAAGAGTTTGTTACTAGAAGAACGCCTTATCGAACATTAGCCTGCGTATGTAGTTCGGAAAGGACGTCCTTGTTGGCCTACCTGTTCACTTGCGTTTGATCATGGCTGTCCCAAGACCAGGGATCTCACTAGAACAAGCTATTCCTCTCGCTTCTAAGCTGTTTTCATTTCAAGCTTCAAACACGTCGATCGTGACGGAGCTAGAGAGCTACGAGGATAGGAATTTTCTGTTGAAAGGTGAAATAACGTCTGACAAAGCTGACAAACAAACGAATGAGACGAAATATGTTCTGAAAATTTTAAATCCAGTGACGTCCCGAAGAATTGGAATCCTCAMTCTGACCTCAAAAGTTCTTTTATTCCTGAATGACAGAGGAATTCAATGTCCTATTCCACAGCCATCGATTTCTGGCAAATATATTATTTGGTGTCGCTTTCCTAAGGTAGGACTTGAAAAAGTTGGCACATGTACATCGGAAAAAGGAGACATTGTGGATGGCACAGAGCTGGTATCGTATGAGTCTAATGAMAGCCCAGCGGTGAATTGCTCCAATGATCATTGCTGTGACGATAACCTTGTCGTGTACGCGATACAACTCTTGACTTTTATACCCGGCAAGTTACTGTGTGACGTTAAGTTCAATGCAGATCTGATGTACATGTTTGGGATCGCAATTGGGAATCTCCACAAGATTTTGAAGGTATTAAATAATTATTTTTAAGCCTAATCATAGCCTGCATACCTAATTTATTATTTTGGTATTCCTAGTTAATTACCGTTGATATTTCCATAGAGTGAAGGCACTTGAACTGTGAAATAAAATCAATTTAGAGACTAAAAGTCGTTATCACTGAACCAGAACAGTTTATATGACACAAAAAGAATACACAAGAGACCATCAAATAAACGAGTACTCTAATAAGTTTGCTTATAAATAAACGAGTGGCTATGCGTACGTYACCCGTACGGCGACTTGTATTTGCTCTTCGTATGTGATCAACTCACTTTCACGACACTTAGAATAACAATCGCGAATACTGTAAATCGTACRGGAGTGAAAAATGTTGAATTCGTACGGGAGTCGTCGGAAATTCTATTGCGTGACATTTCCCGCCTTGACACTGACTTCAGACTACACGAGTAAAAAATGTTGGTAAATAATTGCGGAACCGACTCCCGTACGAATAGCAATCGCGAATAGTTCACAAATAAGTGATGTTCAAAATATAAATTTGTTTCCTTGATATACACTCTAAGGGTTTTTTAGATGGGCTTATCATGGCCGGGGAGGGGTTACATTCGAGTGTGAGAAAAAAAGGAGTAAAACAAGAAGAAAAAGAGTTTGGAAAGAAGAGGAAACTGTTATTTCTTTCTCTTATGTTCCCAGTTATTCTCTTATACTTCATCCCCAAAAATAAACATGAGATTCCAGTTGACCTGTAACCAGCTATACCTGCATCGAATCGGAATTTACTTATACAAAGTACTGCTAAAAACTTTGCAGAGGGTTGCAGGTGCAAAAGCGTAGTTTGCCTTGCTTGTGTGTAGAAAAAGAATGCAAAAAAACGATTTATTTGATTTGAAAGTCACCGTAATTATTTTCTTTGTTTCTCTAGGAATTCAGTCAGACTAGCGACTTCCTTGATACCCATCTTGAGCCMTCGGATAACCAATGGCATATGGAAAACTCGCCAGCTTCTATCATCCAATACTGTCACGCTATAGAAGATGATGCCCGACGAACCCTTGTTCAAGAAATAGCCCAACGCTTTCAGAACGAGTTTCTACCAAAGCTAAAGCAACTCGATACTCAACTTATTCATGGTGATCTGAATGAACACAACATTATTGTTGATCAGTACGCAGATGGGCAGGTCAAAATCAAAGGGTTTATTGACTTCGGTGAATCATATGTCTCGCACAGGGTGCTAGATGTTGGGATTGCAGTAGCATACATGATGATTGAATCCATCAAGCACGGTATGAGTGTGWTTGACGCTTCCACTCRGGTGATCAGAGGATACCAATCAGTATTTCCACTGTCATCGTTAGAAATGGACGTAATGCTTGAGACTGCCAAAACTCGAATCAGTCAATCTTTGGTTCTCGGAGCTTATAATTATAAATACGTTTCCCCAGGAAACGAGTACCTACTCTATACGGCTAAAACTGGGTGGAAGGCATTGGACGAAATATTTCAAAAACCTGGACAAGATATTGTTCATACTTGGTTATCTTGTTAGGTTTCAYAGAATAAACCTCTTTAGCTTGGGCGTAATGTTTTTCCATTTCAGACCAAGTGTCATTCCCAACAATGCAGAACAGAAAAAGTCCCAACAAGCCATATGGGCCAAAATCCCATCAATCCCTACAATATAACTTAGGACCAAGTCCCCACAACGTAAGGGCGAAGTCCCCACAATGCATGGGTCCAAGTCCCAAATCCTCACAATGTGAAGGCCCAAGTGCCTACTATGTGGAGGCCTAAGTTCCTCAAGAACCTTGGGAACCCCGCGGAGAAAAACCCTTGCAACACAGTAGAAAACCAACTACATAATCTGCTCACATAACACGGAGAATAGGCGGAAGAACCTGGGTCGCATTGATAAGAGGCGAGATCTCTCAACGCTATGCATTCAGTGCTTCCCGAAATGATTACGATAAATGCCATTTTCCCAAACACTTTGTATATATTTTTATGGAGTAAAAATAAAAACAAAACAAAAGAATTCCAATCTCATGAGAATTGGAACCTATCATTTTGTTCCCCAGATTGACTTGCATTCCAATGTGCTGCAAGGAATCTATAGGGGCTGCGTGGGAGACTAGAACTGTCCCCATAACTTGCTCGTTTTGGTTTTCGGAATAATCACGCTGCTTGCATAATTTGAGCGTAAAGATGAAGCAGATGAATGCACGAGTGCTTTTATGGATTCTAGGTGTTCGTAACGTATCATGAAACACAAAAAACGAATTGATTATGAATTTTATGTTAATTCTAATTCCATTGTTTGTAGAATGATTCCATAATTCGGTGATTTCGCTCTCCTTTTCGATTCTGGATCCACAAAGGAGCCAAAACTACGAGTTATGGAATCAGACTACATTGCTTGTTCTTTCGCACGACAGCAATCAGATGCTTTCTTTTTTACTTACCAAAAGCATTAATTTTGCATATATTATCCGATCAAAAACCTTGTTAGACTTAGTCAAAAGGACATGGTTCACAAGTTTTAAATGATCATAGAATTGGTAATGCTTACTATGAGGCCCTGTTGAGTTCATGGCCGTGCCAAGACCAGGGATCTCACTAGAACAAGCTATTCCTCTTGCCTCTAAGCTGTTTTCATTTCAAACTTTGAACACTTCGGTCGTGACGGAGCTAGAGAGCTACGAGGATAGGAATTTTCTGTTGAAAGGTCGAATAACGTCTGACAAAGCTGACAAACAAACGAATGAGACGGAATACGTTCTGAAAATTTTAAATCCAGTGACGTCTCGTAGAATAGGAATCCTCAATCTGACCTCAAAAGTTCTTTTATACCTGAATGATAGAGGAATTCAATGCCCTATTCCACAGCCATCGATTTCTGGTAAATATATTATTTGGTGTCGCTTCCCTAAGGTAGGACTTGAAAAAGCTGGCACATGTACATCGGAAAAAGGAGACATTATGGATGGCACAGAGCTGGTATCGTATGAGTCTAATGACAGCCCAGTTGTGAATTGCTCCAATGATCATTACTGTGACGATAACACTGTCGTKTACGCGATACAACTCTTGACTTTTATACCCGGCAAGTTACTGTGTGACGTGAAGTTCAATGCAGATGTGATGTACAAGTTTGGGGTCGCAATTGGGAATCTCCACAAGATTTTGAAGGTATTAAATGAAGGATTTTTTAGCCATGCAGCTACGCCTAAACACAGCTTAATTTCGCCTAGGGGGATCATGCAAAATCGGGGCACAGTTATATCCACATCGCATCTGAATTTGACTTGGATAGATGCAAGGGCTGCGAAGGCGACAAGGGGCATTCACCATTTGCCATACATCAGTGGTCAAACAAAGCATTAGTCGAGATTGCAAGGTTCAAATTTGAATTAATCTTTTGAAAGTACCTTGGCGCCTCGCTTGAGCGATCCGCGTTTGACAGGGGAACCGATGTATGGAAAATGGAGAATTAGCAATACCGTTGTTTGCTTCGAGGCTTGTTTGTACACAGAAAAAAAATGAACAAAAAAATGATTTGATTGATTTGTATGTGGCAACTGTTATCTGCGAACAGCAATGAAAAGAGCTCGACTGTATATATACTTGTGATTTTTTGTTCCTGTAGGAATTCAGCCAGACTAGCGACCTCCTTGATACCCATCTTGAGCCCTCAGATAACCAATGGCATACGGAAAACTCGCCGGCTTCTATCATCCAACACTGTCACGCTATAGAAGACGATGCCCGACGAACCCTTGTTCAAGAAATAGCCCAACGCTTTCAGAATGAGTTTTTACCAAAGCTAAAGCAACTCGATACTCAACTTATTCATGGTGACCTGAATGAACACAACATTATCGTTGATCAGAACACAGATGAGCAGGTCAAAATCGAAGGGTTTMTTGACTTTGGTCATTCATATATCTCGCACAGGGTGCTAGATGTTGGGATTGCAGTAGCATACATGATGATTGAATCCATCAACCATGATATGAGTGTGTTTGACGCTTCCAACCAGGTGATCAGAGGATACCAATCAGTATTTCCMCTGTCATCGTTAGAAATGGACGTAATGCTTGAGGCTGTCAAGTTACGCATCAGTCAATCTTTGGTTATAGGAGCTTATAGTTACAAATACGTTTCCCCAGGAAACGAGTACCTACTCTAYACGGCTAAAACTGGGTGGAAGGCATTGGACGAAATATTTCAAAAACCTGGACAAGATATTGTTTATACTTGGTTATCTTGTTAGGTTTCACAGAATAAACCTCTTTAGCTTGGGTGTAACGTTTTTCCATTTCAGACCACGAGTCATTCCCAACAATGCAGAACAGAAAAAGTCCCAACAAGCTATATGGGCCAAAATCCCATCAATCCCTACAATATAACTTAGGACCAAGTCCCCACAACGTAAGGGCGAAGTCCCCACAATGTAAAGACCAAGCATAGACTTACCAGACTTGGTATCTGTGGGTTCGGATGGGATTTTTGTGGTTAGTGATCCTTAAACTTTGAGAATTTACCTTGATTTCGTGGCGAATATTAGCTCTCAAAAATGTAAGTTTTGAATGTTGAAAAATAAACTTTATTCTTTACATTTCTTGAGTGTTTTTTTTTTTTTGTTTTTTTTTTTNTTTTTTTTTTTGTTTTTTTTTTGTGGTTCCGAGCACTATTAAGCCCTCAACTGAAATAGATTTTTTTTTTGTGGTTCCGAGCACTATTAAGCCCTCAACTGAAATAGAGAGTTCATTTTGGGGTGTTTGGCACTTGAAGATGAACTAATAGTTACAATGTAAGGGTCAAGTCCCCCTAAGTAAGACCCAAGTCCCCACAAGGAAGCGGCTCAAGTCACACAAAGTTAAGGCCCAAATCCCCACAAGGAAAAAAGTAAAGAACCAAGTTTTCACAATGTATTGACCAAGTCTCTACAATGTAACGACTCAAGTCCACTATTAAGACCCAAGCCTCAACAATATATGGCCCATATTCTGGGTAATTTGGGTTTATTACTGGAGAAGTGTTTGTGAATGTACTTTACATATAGCAGTTTACAAAATTAGCGTCAATAAAAAAGGTGGAAAATGTGAGTATGCTAACTTGATGATTTGGTGATTAATACTGATATTTGTGCTAGTGCTTTTCTAAAGGTTTTTTCTCAAATATCTTAACTCTGGTTTTAAAATGTATCAAGAAGAAGCGTAGCAAGCAAAGCAGTTTCGTATCTGTTAATATTGCATAATCGTCGACGAGTACACTGAGCTCGTTTTAGTTAGCCATCGATTGTATTAGTTTTCTGGCCATGAAAGAGACCCTTGTAGAACTGATCTTCACCAAGGATCTTCAAGCCGATTGGACGAATGATAGCCTTCAGGTATTTATGTAGGTGATGTCCGRCAGCCCCCAAGGAATTAGGAGCCAAACCATAAATGACACGAAATGGTCTCATGAGAGAATGTGCCAGGTGGTGATCTGTAAGGTCTGCAAAACATGAAACAAGGACACCGTCCACAAATAACGTTCCTTCAGTGGTGACTGGTGCAAAAGCTCCTCTAGCATCGCCCAGGGCTACTGCGACAACCTTATCCGCGATAGCTGACCCTGCTCCAGAGGCCTGGGAATAAACATAGTTACCGGGTTTGATAGTGGAGGCGTAGACGGCCTTACTTTTGAACAGTGTTTTGGAAGTGACATCGGTTTCGAGCCTGAATATCAGGTGGGCAGGTTTCATGGTGATACGTTGTCCTGATTGGGTGAATATTGTGAGATATTGACCTGCATGCTGGTCGGATTTGTCCAGGAACGTCACTACCTGCAACATGAGATACACACGCCATAAGAATAGAAAAGACGCATATTGTACACAGTGAATGTATATTGTGACACCTTCTTCCACGAGGATAACCGCTAGTGGGTCATGTGGGTGTTCGTTGACCAAGGACGGCACAGCAGCACATTTCTGCCACAAGCTACGTGAGCTTCACAAAGTAACCCCTCCCCTAATAGACCTCTTCGGCTTGGGGTAATGTTTTCCCATTTCAGACCATGTGTCATTCCCTTGAGAATAAGATCCTTTGTTTAAGCTGTATCCATATTTGTGTCTTCTCAACTGCAAACGAGCGCAAACCTTAACAAAGAAATGATACTCTAGGGAATGACATGTGGTCTGAAATGGGAAAACATTACGTCAGAGCCGAAGAGGTCTATTGTGGATTCCCTATTATTAACCACCCCTCCCCTCCTAGTCGACTTTTGGTAAACCTTCGATTCAGTGACATGAAATTTTAGAGGAAAACCACAGAATTCCATTCCCACAAAAACTACGTTTGCCGATTCCTTATCTATAACCCTCTCACCGTAATTGATTTTTTGTAATCCCTATGTGCACGTTCACTCAAGCTAAATACGCTATTATGTTTTATACCTGGGTAAAGACTGTATCTCCTTCAGCGTTGATAGTTTTGACTCGTTGGCCCACTTCGAGGTCGTTCATTCTGACCTTCTGGCCAGTCTCAAGCTCTACTGTCGATTCTGAGGAGAAACACAATCCCCCGCCACTGTCTGACTTGATGTTAATTGTGCACTGTTCTGTAAAAGGATTTTTAATATATAATATATATGATGGTAAACGTCTCTAGCGATTTGAAATGCTTACCGTCTGGCGTCTGCCAAAAGAACACGTGACTCATATTGGTATGTGCGAGGTAGCCTGTGGCCTGATGGAAGCCATAACCATCCCATAATAGTGCTCTACAAGCATCAGTACCCTCGGTAACGTTCATCAGCATTATGCCTTTTCGGCCCACAAAGGCTGATGGCTAATGGTAAAATAAGTGATAATTAAGACCAAAAAATATATAATTTAATGTCCCCTTAAACAATAACTCACAGATCAAATAGCCCCCTTCCAAGTTCCCCGCGCCATCTTGGAAGGTAGTCACGACTTAGCTTCGTAGCGAGACGCGCAAACGATGAGCTTGCAATGATAGAGACCTTTTCTTAACACCTTGGACAATTATTCACATGTCTCTATCATTGCCAGCTCACCGTTCGTCTTGCTTCGATGCAAAAGCTTGGCTACCTTTCAAGATGGCGGAAGGAACTGTGTAGGGGACTATTGGCATTTAGCAAATATATTACAAGCTTAAGTCACGTCGGATTATTTGAATTGTTCAGTAGTTAATGATTTCAGACTTCGTACTTGAGTTCATGAACAAAGATCCTAATTGTTCACAATAGATAACAGTCTTCTTTGCATGCGCAGCACTGGTGCGCAATGCCAAATAGTGGCAGATAATGCCTTGCGCGTCTATAAATTAAATCGCCTGGTAAATGAAGAAGTAAAAGAGGATGAATGGGTGTTCGTTTGTACCTTATTACTTTCCAGAGGGACTCCGTAAACTTTTTCAAGGTGAGCAATCAAAGCATCGATGTCCATCAGAAAATAGATATTTGCACTGGAATTGGTTTTCTTGTTTTCAAATGTCTTGGTAAAATATTGCTCCTCCTTTAACCCTGAGGAAGAGAAAACAAGAGAAAACTCGGCAATGCATTGCCGGTCTGTCACGTGTATTTTACATTGATCACGTCCTTGTCCGCTGATCACGTGTATAATACTTTGATCTGTGTATTGTACATTGGGCCTCATCTCTAGTGCTAAGTGTCTCGTCTTAGACCCGATAATGCCCAAAACAAGTGCCCAAAATTTATGAATGTCTTAAGAGGGTTCAAATGGGGGTATACCCAATTGTCAGTTAACTACGATTTCTATTGGCCAATTGTCAGTTAACTACTCTAACCCCATTGGCACCCTCTCTAAAAGCAAGGAAAATCTTAAAACTTGGAATTGTTTTTTGCTCAGCATGGGCTTGCTAGCTGCCCCCCTCACCTGGTGGTAATGTAGTGATGGCGTGATACGATATTAGATTAAGCATGGTGCTGATTCTTAACGGACAAGTATCGTTCGGCATGTACGTCAGGTTTGCTGCTCCTACGGCTTCCAGTAGCCCGTCATCAGAATAAACTCCTCCCCATTTGCTATTCCCTGGGTACGAGCCTTTGAGCACGTTGAAGGATGGCAGTCGCCCTAAGTGGGAATAAAAAAACAGGAAATCCACTAAGTTTCCATTTTCCTGGTAGGAGAGTCCTATTTCTTTCTCATATCGCAGAAAGCCGGTAAATAATACTAATATACAGCTATTCAAAAATGGTTGAGGTTTCGTTGAATGCTGCACGTTGTTTACCAAGCTTGAAATATATTATATTAATATGTACATAGTAATGTCAGAACAGATAGAAGAAAATATGCCGGAAAACGCAGACAAACTTTTTCCATATCTTTATGACTTTTTGATGATTGGATTCACATCTGATCCATAGTGCATTTCGGGCTTCTGTTATGTAGCAAACCTTGACCAACCTTTCTTGAAATATCGATGATAAAATGACCAATCCTAATATTAATTCGGCCAAGTTTTGTTTGTCATTTTGAAATTAATATTTAATAAAGGGTGCGTTCAAGATGTGTTTTAGTTTTAAGCCGTGAGTAATTGTTTCCACGGCCCCATATCAAGCATGCAAAAAGAAAGAATATTTCTCTTCTATGAGTATATACTTGAAACGATTTCCAATTCATAAATACAGTGAAGCGATACGACGGCGCGCGCAATTCACCATTATCGAAATTCGAAAACTAGTTAGAGCCAATGAAAAAAGGCTATACTGAGAACCTTATTTCTGAAACCATTCTAGCTTTAAAAATTTAATTTCTTAGTTTGCCGTGCGATCCTAGCTGATCTTTATCTCCAGAGATGAGTTTTATTTTTAAGCTATGCACTTTACAATAAATGTATTGGTTAGAATTAGTTTGCTTTAGAGTGATACCTCGAAAATATGATCCCTTCAGGACAACGACACCCACCTTGTAAAAGATAAATTTTCTTAGAGTGATGAAAAAGAATTAATTATGAAGGTCAGTTTTTCGTGGCTGTTTTAAATCATGGGTTAAGTAATTTTTTAAATTTAAAGTGTGAGAAATCTTTCGTAACGAATTGCCAGTTGAGCGAGCTATTAAGTATCGACTCGAAAGCAACTGCTCGTCAGCTTTCTTTCTATTTTTTTATTTTTTGAAGTAAAATAAGATGGACTCGTTACAGAATGGAAACAAGAAAAGAATTATTTCCAAAGTGAGCAAGCAAGGGTAAATAAAATGCTAAAATTCTTTGGAAGAGGATTTCTAGGAAGAAGCAAATTTAGGATTAAAACGTCTTCAGCAAATGCGCGACAATATGAGAAAAAYATTTTGAAAATACAAAACACACGCACAAAAATACAAACTACTTACTTGCTTGTACTGCAAAAAATCCGAGTAAACACAAAAACAAGATCATTGAACTCCTTGAGAATGAACTCGCCATGTCTTTCGCCGTTTTCGACTTCACCTGAATGCGGAACTGACTCCCGTACGCTATCGCTCCTTGCAGACTGGTTTGTTTACACACCAAAGTCTATTTACACTACCTGCTATTTTTCTCAGCCTTCCTTGAAAAAAGTATTAAAGAACAGGCGAATTTCATCAATAATTAATGAAAGCTGTCAAAAATGTTACTTAGATGACTCTGCAGCAGGTCACTTTTAACAAAAGTGTGATGCTTGTACTATGCGGACACGGTTTTTGAAATTACAACGTTCTGTATTGCACATTCTTCAAGTGCTTTGCTTCGCATTTCAAAACTGTGTACTCACATCTGAGCAGTTTTAGGTTCAATTTCTATACTTAACATTGCATGAATAGTTTTTAAGGTCTCTACCAACACCCTCAGTATTCTCTTTGTTTCGTTTACTAAATGAAATTAATTTATTATATGATTATTTATTTATAGGAAGCACGGGTGGTATAGCGTTCGCCTGTCATGTTCARTGCGACGCAGGTTCGATGCTAAAACTTTATTCTTTCCTGGCATCGCTTGAAGAGTGTCTTTTTCTTTCTCTTTTCTTACTTCTGTTCGCATGGTAGATTTTTAATCTGATTACAACGAGATTCCACATCTCCTAGGTGGTGAGCCCCAGAGAAGTTTGACACAAATGACTCCACGCGGTAATGTGTTCTGCAAGCATGCATATCTCTCCCGGGGGGAGGAGGACTCCGGGGTAAAAGTATCAGGTATGGCACTCGTTGGAAATTTTAAAAATACCCCTAAGAGGTAACCTTAAAGATACCACGAAACGAACGAATAATGCTGTTTATTTTATATCCTTTGTACTCATAAACTGCGAGTTTACAATTGTAACTCTACCGTATGTCCTACAACCCTAATGTGTTTTATTTACTTACTTACGGATTACTTAATTCTCATTATTCTTATTCTCTTTACGTGAYGACGTGACGGTCTCAAAGAAATTTACTCTAGGCACTTACGTCCCAATGTTTTSCTAATTTTACCTAGAAAAGCATTGCCTACTTTGTCGTACATGTCACTCATGTGCTTTATCAGTTTAGATTCGCAGTTGATTTTGGTTTTCTCTGCGTTCAAACACGTGACAAAGGAAGAAAAATCCTTGCAGAGTTTGTGCTTGTAGAACACGTCGGTGTATTCATTTATGCACAATGTRTGGACTCGTTTGGCACAAGCTGACCATTGATCGTCGTCTAAAACAGAAAAGAAACATGAACGTCAGGATCAATGGGAAACAATTTTCCCATTATGTTATTACAGTGTTTGTAGATGAATAAGTGAATGGATGGATGGATAGATGGTGATTGTGATTGTGATATGAAGTGTATATTTTATATACTTGAAAAGGAACATGAACACCAGGTTCAAATGCATGGTAAACAATTTTGGCTATTGAGTTATGTAGACTAGGGTAGACTGTGTCCTCGAGGTAAGAACTATTCCTTGGCGAGTGGAGGACAGCAGCGTTTAGTCAAGCGTTTGTGTGCCTCGTATGTAATTGTGTTTTCAAATTTAAAACTTATGTAGTCATTGTAAAATGCTTGTGTCGAACTGAGATTCTTAGGATCATATAATAATTCTCGATTGAGTGCATGTTAAGGCTTCAACGAGATATGGAGTGAATGGCTACTATAAATTCAACATGGCGGACCTAACCCCTCTCCCTGAAATGATAATTCTACCTCGTGCTCAGGGTATAAGAATAAGCAAGACATAGGTGGATGCTATATTAACCCTTGCATTCATCAGAATAATTAGTACTGGTGGTTCAAAACGTGCCATAATTCAAGTGTTTGTCGTAAAAGAACGTTTGAATCTTTTAAAGCTGTTTTCGTATCTATGGGAAACATATCCAATACATRCATCTAGGACTAAAGTAAAGCTGGTTCTGTAGTCAGTGCCAAGAATAATCTCAACGCTCGGCTATTTTGAAATTTTTGTATTTTATCTGATAATTGTTTTCCCTAAACAATATATCTATCTTTTTCTCCCATTGTAAGTGTTGGCATTACGCCTAAATTTGACAGATCCTACTAACATGAACTCGGTTTTGGCTACGTTTATGTGGGCCTTGTTTTCAGCATCAGCTCTATTTACAACACTTATATTAGTGTCATCTGTAAACATCTGCAAACAGACTTGGAGTTGAAGTTTCTAAGCAGTTCAGTAGACCATTAATATATAGGATCGGAGAAATAGGAGAGGACCGAGTATGGATCGATGCGGTACCCCACAGGTAATTAACCTCTCCTGGGATTTAAACGCTAATTATTTTCTATCATAAAATTTATCGCCGCTTGTAGAGTGCAAACAATTAATCCGCGAAACACTTATTACTAAATAGCACGAAATAGTGCTAATTAAACAATAGAAAACAATGAAATTTGCATGAAATTGTGTTATTTAGTATTACTAAAGTTTCACGGTTATGTTGTTTGCACTCTAGTACCGCGTACGCGTGCTGTAAGATTCAATTTTTTTGTCGCTAGTTGAGCGACCATCTGGATCAAAGGAGCGAAAACTACGACTTATAGAATCAGTCTATTTTGTGGAGCAAATACTTTGGATTGTATTTTTTTGATGACGTCGCGTGAAAGCCAAGAATTCACAATAACGTGATAAGAGGTTAAACTTCTCGTTT